TTTTTTGCTATCACAAAAAGTATTGCAGTGATTATTTTGGTATATTCAGTTACTGTTGGTGAAACTATGAATTGTCTCAACCATGCTGTAAAACAATTTGGAACTATGCCCACAAAGTCACTAAGCTGTGCATGCCCTTTGACCCAATGATGCCACTCCTATTTACATAGGGTAAAAAGAGATCATGGAGGAAGAAGACTCATATGAACAAAAACATTTATAGCAGCCCTTTTTCTTGTGGCAAAGAACTGGAAAGAAAATAAGTGCCCATCCATTGTAAGATGGCTAAACAAACTTGCAGAATATGGATGGAATGTTATTGTACTCTAAGAAATGATGAAAGGGATGGATTCAGAGAAGACTGGGAACTTGTGTGAACTGGTGCAGAGTAAAGTAAACAGAACCAGGAGAAAAATACATTCAATGATGACAATATTGTGATGGGAAACAACTTTTAATGACTTAAGAACTCTGAACAGTATGATAGCCAGTTATGACTCCAGGAGACTGATGATGAAACATGCTTTTTATCTCCTGACAGAGAAGTGAAGTGCAGAATGAGACATACCTTTTCTTACATGGCCAATGTGTGGATTCATTGTGCTTGACTGTATTTATTTATTTGTTTATTGTTCACTGGAGAAGGAAGTGACAAACCTCTCCAGTATCTTTGTCAATGTTGAGGTGTAGGGGTTTAGGGGTGCTGGGACCCCAAAATCAGAACATGCAGGTCTTGCCTGAAAGAATTTGACCCAAGCCTTCTTTCAGCCAAAGACAAGGTTTATTAGAACATCCGTCATATTGGCCTGACCCTTAGTGAGCTATTGCCTAGATTTTAAGAATTTGAGCAGTTTAATGGAGATAAGATGGACCTTATATACAGAAAGACTGTGAGAGAGATCTAGGAGTAGCCAAGTAGTCTGTAAGGACTATGAGGTAATAGAATGCCAGGGACCTGGACCATGTGGCCAAGGAAGAATGGAGCCTAGCTAGGATTAAGGGTGGGAAGTGGGTGGGGGGTCATAGAGAGGTAAGACAATGTGGGGCTAGGCTAGACTAAGGGTAACAGAATTGGGAGATTGGGTATAGGCCAGTTGATGGGAGATTGGGTGTGGGCATTAACAAAAAGCCAGTTGATGGGATTATAGCCTCAGGCAAACTCCAGAGATTTGGCCTTGTGGGAAAGTCCAGGGTTTTTCCTTTCTGGGGTCCAGATATCAACCCCATCACCAAGAAAACCCCATAGACAGTGGGGTCCATGGAGTCGTGAAGAATTAGATAAAACTGAACAACTAAATAGCAACAAATACTTATTTGTTACAAGGGAGAGTTTTTTGGGGAGGGGAGAGGGGACAATTTATGAAGGGAGTAGAGGGACAGTCATAGTGACTGTTAGGAACTAGAAGAAAAGAAAGAAAATATTATCAATGACATTTAAAAATAAGAGAATAAGAGAGGAGAAAAAAGTTCACATTGAAGATATATGAAAAGCAAGGCAGTGTTGGTACTACTGTGTTAAATTTAATGTTGAGAGAAATGATTATTAATTACCAATAATTTAGGGAGATCCAGAGTCCTCCCCTTCTTCTAAAGTCCCAATTTTAAAAGTTCAGTCTCTTGAAGGACAGTGCTGATAAAGAGATTAGACTAAAACCCCACCCTGGTAGGGTAGCGGTTGTGCTCTGCTCAGGCTTGGGTGGGGTATAAATTTTTTGAATAGATTGCCCCCAGCACTGGGGGTGGTCTGGGTATGGAGATAATCTGTCCACAGGTGACATGATGTCACTCTCAGCCCCTCATTTTAATATAGCCCACCTCCTGTTGTGATAACCAATCAGAATTGATTGCCACCTTTCAGGAACACCTACCTTTATTTGGGGGGTGGGGTGGAGAAGGAAATAGGGTTAAATGACTTGTCCAGGGTCACACAGCTAGTAAGTGTCAAGTGTCTGAGGCTACATTTGAACTCAGGTCCTCCTGACTCAAAGGCCGTTGCTCTATCTACTGCGCCACCTAGCTGCCCCTCTTTGAAGGGCATATAAACTGTGAGCCTATGATCACGATTGTTTTTGGTCTAAGAGAGACAGGCAAATGACCATCTTTTTATTAATGATGTGCTGGCCTTATTAATAAAATGATTAAATTACCCAGAAACTATGTCTCTTGAGCCTTTTTATTTGTCACAACGTAGACTTTTAAAAAGAATCTGTAAGTAATAGAGATTCACAGTTTTATATAATTCACAGTTTTATATACAATATTCTTCTGTTCTATTATGCTGTTTGTTTTTGTTTGAAAAGTTCATAATAAAAAAGGAATTAAAAAGAGATATTACTAAGGATAAGAATAAGACAAACAATGATGTGACATAGAGAATATTAAAAATCTCATTGAGGACAACACATACCTATTGGAATGTTTCTTATTTATTCTGTGGTAGGGGAAGAGTAAATATTGGGGCCCAGAGGCTCTGATATTCCAGAATTTACTTTTTCCTGAGATTGACAGCTTTCTGCATTAGTACCAATTCTGTGGGCTGTCATCCCAGATGATTATTGGGCTGGGATGGTGGAATTTGGTGAAGATAGTATTGGAAGACTCTCTCTTGAAGGTGGTCTCTGAAGCCTTAGTTTCATTTTCATTGATGTCCAGCATAACCATATGTAGTACCTAGAGGGAAATGAAACACACATAACAGTTTTGGGGCAAAGAAAGAAAAAGGAAAGTCAGAATCATGGGATATCAGCACAGCCCTGGATATAAGGAAAGAATTTGAGAGTATTAACCTGGGGAAAGGCCACACGTGGCTGCATTGATAGAGATTATGATTTTGTTTCTGCTTGTTGGAATTCCCTTAATGTAACCAATGAATGTTTTGTTTCATACATACTATGTGCAAAGATTTGTATCACACCATTAAGGGTGATGCAAAGTAAGACACTGAACTTGCCCTCAAGGAGCTCATAGTCTATTAGGGGGATATAAAACAGATAAACTATAGTAGATATGTTAATTGGTCTATTTATGATGCCCCATTTGATCAGATGGGTTCTATGCTTCGGGTGGCCCCTTGCTCATGAAGCCTTACAGATGGACCTGGCTATGATCCCCAGACTGCTCTGGCCTAGTGACTCTTTTTTCCATTTTGAGATTGTGGTGCCTTGGAGAGGAGTTAATTTATAAAGAGAACCAGAAGGTGAGGAAACTTGGAGGGAACTGGAGCAGAGAAATTAACAAGAAGAAAGCAAACCCAAGCATCTTTTCTCTGTTACAGGGTTTGCTGAGTCTGTCACCACAGGCTAAGAAAAGGTGCTGAGTCTCTACAAGTTCTCAAGTCCCTCACTTAACGTGACATGGATCCTCCTGGAAGTAGCAAATGGAATAGCATTTAGAAATTGTGTTTTAGTGTAAGAACTTTATTCATTCACCATAGGTAGGAGTAGCCTGCAGAATTATACAACTGAACGGAGCCTTTCCTGAAATTCCTGGGTTGTAAACATCAAGGGTTTTGGAGAAAGTATGGATAGAGCCAGGCACTGTGCTAAGTACTAGGGATACAAAAAATGCAAAAGACAGCCTCTGTCCTCAAGGAGTTTGCGATCCAAAGGATAAATGCTTGGGGGACACCTTAAGCTAGCAGGGCTTGAATGAAGATCCAGCAAAGGAGACAGAAAAGGAATGGTGAAACAGATAGGAGGACAATCAGGAGAGAGCAGTGTCATGAAAACCTAGAGAGAAGGAGTATCAAGAAAAAAAGGATGATTGACAGTTTCAAAGCCTATAGAGAGATGTTGAGGATTGAGAAAAGACCATTAAATTTGACAATTAATATGAAAAAATGAAGAATGAAATGAGTAGAACCCAAAGAACGTTGTACACAGTAACAGCAATATTTTTTTTTTGGGGGGGGTTAGGCAGTGGGGTTAAGTGACTTGCCCAGGGTCATACAGCTAGTAAGTGTTATGTGTCTGAGGTCGCATTTGAACTCAGGTCCTCCTGAATCCAGGGCCGGTGCTCTATCCACTACACCACCTAGCTGCCCCCCAGCAATATTGTTTTAAGAACAACTTTGAGTGACTAAGTTATTTTGGGTATTATAAATACTCAAATTAACTACAAGGGACCTATGAAGGAAGATACTATCCGTATCCAGAGAAAGAACTGGTAAATAGGTATATATGTATGGCATGGTTTTACATATATCTGTGTCTAATGGTAGCCTTCTTTGGGGTAGGGTAGGGAGGGAGGGAGGAAAAAAATAAAAAGTACACAGCAGAGAACAAAAGAAAACTTAGAAGGAAGCACAGAAAAGCAGGATAGCTTTGAAAATTATGTAAGTTTTCCTTTTTTTTTTTAAAGTAAACTGAAATTGAAATTCACGGCTTTATATTGTGTGCATGGAAATTTTTTTTGTCTTCATCTTTAAGTTCAAAATGAATAAAAATTTCAAAAAATAAAGTTTGTTACATCTTGTCTAAAAAAAGATTTGGCAATTAAAAAATCATTGATAAATTTTGAAAGAGCAGTTTCAATTGAATGATGAGATTCAGAAACTAGATTGGGAAGAGTTAGGAAGTGAGTTAAAAGAAAGGAAGTAGAGGCACCAATTGTAGACTGTTTTCTCAAGGAAATTAGCCACAAAAGGGAGAAGAGATAAAGGGTGGTAGCTAGCTGGGGGATAGACAAATCAAATGATAGTTTTTTGTTTTGTTTTGTTTTGTTTTAAGGCTGGAGGAGAGACTTGGGAAAGTTTGTAGGCAGCAAGTAGACAGATATTGAAGATAAGTGAGAGAGTGAGGATAGTAGATGAGGCAATCTAGTGGAAAAGTTAGGCAGGAATGGGATCACTTATGGATGGAGAGATGTTTGCCTGGACAAGAAGGGTCACCACTTTCTGTGAGACAAGGGTGAAGGAGGAGGTTGCGGGAGAAGACATCCGAGTGATGTGAGATAAGGAGAAGAGGAAGCTCTTGGAAAATATCTTCATTTCTTTTTTTCAGTGAAATACGAAGCATTGTTCTTAGCTGAGAGGGTGAGGGGAAGGAGAGCCATGGAAGGCTTAAGGAAGGCTGAAAGATTCGGCAAAGCTGCTGTGATTAGTGGAATGGTGAATAGAGTAGGTAAGTGTAAAATAAACATACTTCTCTATACATCTGACTCCAATATGTCCTACTCATGTGACTAGATCTCAGTAATAGGTACAGGGAAGACAGAGGAGGTTTTTTTCCCTTTGAGATGGGGGATCCAGAGCTATTTAAATTGGTTAAATCCACCCTGTCCACAACCTTTAGAGTAATAAGACAGGGAAGAATTAGGGGCTGGAAGTTGTCAGTTCTCTGAATGTCTGTCTCCCTTCCTTCAGTTCTTTTTTTAGTCTTTAAAGCCAAGCACAATTCTTTGCTCTTCAAGGAAACCTTCCCTGACTACTATAACCCAACACACATGGATCTCTGCATTTTCTAAACTCCTCTAGCATTTGTATTCTGAGCCATATAAACTTGCATTTTATTACTTTTTCTCATGTCATCATTCTCTGTTGTTGTTGTTGTTTTTACTGGTGTTCTAGGTGTTTTGTCTCTTTAACAATCATAAATTCCTTGATGACAGTGACGTACATCTCTTTTGATCTCCACGGGGTATAGCACAGTATTGAGCACATGGTAGGAATTCAGTCAGTTTTTGCTGGGATGATTCGACAAATCAATCAGCTATTTGTCTGGTGACCTGCTGTTTGACTGAAACTACTAATTGGGAAGCAGCAATAGTTGATACAGGAGCCCTCTGCAGACTTGGTATTTTTATGGAATGTTAGAGCTTCTAGAAAGAATAGAATATAGAATAACGTGAGTTATAAGGGATCTGTAGATCTTTTAAGGAAAGATAATAGACATTTGCTTTGGACAGGACATTGGTCACATAAAGGAGATGAGGAGTGAGAATATGGATGTCTTAACCATGAGTTTGACATTACATAAAGGCTTGTGTATCCTTCCAATGAACTCCATAACCATGTTTCTCTTGTGTAATCATTTCTTCTACCCTGTGATTCAAATCCAGATTAGAGGTAGGAGAAAACACTGAATTGAGCAAAAGTAAGCTCAGGAAGATAAAACTAGAAGAGTGATATTGGTTTAGAAAAATTGGATAAAGTTTAACCTCCCTCAAACAAACAATGACTTTGAAAGCTGGATTTATATGTAACCTGACTTTTGCCCCAAGCTTGACACAGCTTCCTGAGGGACATCACTGTGATGCTTTGTGCTGTGTACATATGACTCCATACAGACAGCCCTAAGATGCTGTGTATGGAGTACACAGAGGGAGAGGTGGCTCAATTTGCTGTGAGATCTTGGAGCCAGTCGTGCTATGTATAAATAGAGAAAAGATTTCTTCTGATTCAGAGAAGTGACTGGGAGAAGTGGATAGGGTGCTGGCAAGAGACAGGATCAAAAGAGAAGACAAGCTCAAACTTTTGAATGGAGGACAGGAAATCTCTCTGGAGCTAGAGCCATCTGGAGAAGGGCTACCTCTAACATGTCCCTTGATTACCATTTAGTCTGGTATCTTAGAACATCTGGTATGAGGGCTTGCTGAGCGCTTTTCAGGGCTGCTCATCCACCTTTGGTGTCTACCTTTCACCCAACACGCAGCACAGCAGCCACACCAGGATAAAACCGTCTTGGCAGATGGGCTAAATCAGGTTGAGGGTAACCAATGGGCCTTAAACCCATTGGTTAATTGGGAGATGTCTACCCCATGTGAAGACTTCCCCCAGCAGAATGGGTAGATGAGAACAATTTGTTTAGACGGCCACGAAGGCTGCTGAAGCATGTGCTATGGAGTGCTTAGAGTTGGTCAGACATCCAAGACACCAAGGTTATCCCCTGCATCCTGGGCCATCACCGGTCATCTTGACTTTTGTCTTGCCACTGAACTTTGATGACTCTGGAAGAGAGAGTGAGGCTGGCGACTTTGTGCAATTCTGCCTCATTTAAATCCAGTTCACACACAAGCCATCATTCCATGATGTCATTGGTCCTCTTTGAAACAAAGGACGAACAACTTTGGTGTGAGTATTAGGTGCTTAACAGAACACTTGTTGACTTGACTTGGTGTATTCTATTGTCTAGCCTAATACATATAACACTCCCAATTTCTATTTATTGTTATTTTCTTTGATAGAGAAGTTTACCAACTATCTGTGATTGTCTTTTGTGTAACCAGTTTTTGGTGGAAGGGAGCTAAGCTAGTGAGAGTAAACTGTTGCCTTTTCCATAAGAGTGACCAGAGAAAGCAGTTTTTATCTTAAACCCGAAAAGAATTGTACCTCTAGACTATAGATATTGGATATGTGGTAGAAAGATATAATTCTAACCTGATTATCCCTCATGAAGGTAGAGAGCAAAGGAGAGATTATCCTGGAACCTGCATGATCCCTGCTGCCGTTCTCTGTAGAAGTAGAAATCACAGTGTTATGTAGGGTGGGCCAGATCCCATAGATCAGATAGATAGATAGATCAGATGTCTGTCTATATCACATGCAGGTCAGCAATCTATATTAGATGGCTCATCCACGTATATATTACATGTGGGTTGGAAAAGTAAGTCAATGGGTCATTATATAAATATTTTTTAAGTGCCCACTATATTCTAGGCACTATGCTAAGTGCTGAGGATACAAAAAGGGGCAAAAGACAGTCCTTTACTCTCTCTCTTTTTTTTTTTAGGCAATTGGGGTTAAGTGACTTGCTCAGGGTCACATAGCTAGTAAGTGTCAAGTGTTTGGTCTGAGGCTGGATTTGAACTCAGGTCCTCCTGATTTCAGGGCCAGTGCTCTATCCACCGTGCCGCCTAGCTGCCCCTATTTATTCTCTTTTTTCCCAAATAGTTTATATATTATTAGAATTAATTGTTCTTTAAATGTTTAGAAGAATTCACTTGTGAACCCATCTGGTCCTGGGGATTGCTTCTTAGGGAGTTCATTGATGGCTTGTTCAATTTCTTTTTCTAAGATGGAGTTATTTAAGTATTCTATTTCCTTTTCTGTTAATCTGAGCAATTTATATTTTTGTAAATATTCATTGATTTCACTTAGATTATCAGATTTATTGGCATATAAATGGGCAAAATAGTTCCTAATAATTTTTTTACTTTCCTCTTCTCTGATGGTGAATTAATCCTTTTCATTTTTGATACTGATAATTTGGTTTTCTTTCTTTTTTTTTTTAAATCAAATTAACCAGTGGTTTATCTATCTCATTTTTTTCCCCCATAAAACCAGCTCCTATTTATTTATTAGCTCAATATTTTTCTTACTGTCAATTTTTATTAGTCTCGCCTTTGGTTTTCAGAATTTCCAATTTGGTGTTTAATTAGAGATTTTTAATTTATTCTTTTTCTAGTTTTTTTTAGTTGCATTCCCAATTAATTGATCTGCTCTTTCTCTATTTTATTGATGTGAGAGTTTAGAAATATAAATTTTCCCTTAAGTACTGCTTTGGCTGCATTCCCATACATTTTGCCATGTTGTCTTATTGTTGTCTTCTCTGTAATGAAATTATTGATTGTTTCTATGATTTGTTTTTGACTCACTCATTCTTTAGTATTAGATTATTTCATTTCCAATTAATTTTAAATCTATCTTTCCACTGCCCTTTATTGAATGTAATTTTTATTGCATTATGATCTGAAAAGGATGCATTTAATATTTCTGCCTTTCTACATTGGATTATGAAGTTTTTGTGCCCTAATACATGGTCAATTTTTGTGTAGGTGCCATGTACCACTGAGAAAAAAGGTATATTCTTTTCTGTCTCTATTCAGTTTTCTGCAGAGGTCTATCATATCTAAATTTTCTAATTTTTTTGGCAATTGGGCTTAAGTGACTTGCCTAGGGTCATACAGCTAGTAAGTGTCAAATGTTTGGTCTGAGGCTAGATTTGAACTCAGGTCCTCCTGACTTCAGGGCTGGTGCTCTATCTACTGCACCACCTAGCTGCCCTAATCTTCTAAAATTCTATTCACCTCCTTAACTTCTTTCTTGTTTACTTTGCAGTTAGATTTATCTAGTTCTGGGAGAGGAACGTTGTGGTCCCCCACTAGTATAGTTTTGCTGTCTATTTCCTCCTGTAACTCATTTAACTTCTCCTTTAAGAATAACGATGCTAGCGGCAGCTGGGTGGTACAGTAGATAGAGCACTGGCCCTGAAGTCAGGAGAACCTGAGTTCAAATCTAGCCTCAGACCAAACACTTGACATTTACTAGCTGTGTGACCCTGGGCAAGTCACTTAACCCCAATTGCCTTTAAAAAAAAACGAATATCAATGCTGTACAAGTTGGTGCATGTTCAGTATTGATATTACTTCATTGTCTATGGTACCTTTTAGCAAGATGTAGTTTCCTTCCTTATCTCTTTTAATTAGATCTTTTTTTGTTTTTCTTTGTCTGAGATCATGATTGCTACCCCTGCTTTTTTTTTTTAATTTCAGCTGGTACATAATAGATTCTTCCCTAGCCCCTTACCTTTATTCTGTGTGTGTCTCTGCTTCAAGTGTATGTCTTGTAAACAGCATATTGTAGGATTCAGTTTTTTAATCCGCCCTGGTATCTGCTAGTCCTTTGCTATCAAGGAGCCCACAGTCTAATGAAGGAGACATGAAAACAACTATGTACAGACAAAATATACAGGATAAATTGGAGATAACTAATAAAGGAAAGATAATAGCCCTAAGAAGGGATCAGGAAAGGCTCCTTGTGGAGGTTTGCCTGCATATGATTTAGTATTAAGTCTGGTGTGTGTGTAGTATACTGTGTCATGATGTGTGTGTTTGCTAAATGTGTTTTCCCTATGTTTTAAGAGTTAATTTGGTTAATGATTTACTGTTCCTTTCACTAGCAAGCTGCCAAGTGCAAAAGACCTAAGAGGGAAAAACAAGTTATCTCCTTCTGACTGTATGTGTTTAGGGGGAGGGGAGAAAGAAGGTGATAGTTCAGCGAACTATAATTGTAGCATCACTGATTTCTTGAATGTGTCACAGCTTATCAAACTTTTGATTATAAAAAAATTAGCTGGCTTGTCTACTGAAATCTGACAATATGTATATTTATGTAGGTGAGAAC